GAGTCACTGCGCGTGCGGACTCAGAGGCTGTAGTTTCATTTTGTGGCAAAATTAAAACAATAAACGGTTGTATTAATTTTTTCTTCTTATACTGCGAGTATTGAATTGAAAATGAGGACGTTTATGATGCTGCTTCTTTACTGGACAGCGTCTGTGTCTGCAGGTAAGCTTCATAAAATGAAACTGTTCTTTAGAGATAGTGTTGCTCTCATGTGGCTCAGGTGTTACTGTAAACAGACTCTCGGCTTGCACATATTCAAGATTCAAGGTTTATTTTTATTTCGCAGGGTTGTTGTTGTTGTTTTTTTAACAGAAATACACAGGCTTCAACAAGATCTTGCTCCTCACCAGCATCTACAGTACAATCATCAGTAAAACAAATAAAATACAGCGATAACAAATCTAAAATAAGGATAAATAGCAATGAAGCAGCAGCCTGCAGAGACACTGAGCAAACTCAAGTGTAAATAATCAGATTGATTCAGCTAGCAGCAGTCCTCTCACAGAGAGGGATTAAATTAGATCAGATTAAGTGTGTGTTTATGGTTTGTAAAGGGAGGAGCCAAAGTACATTTATCAGCCCCACAGTTTGTGCAAAGAAGCCTTCCAGCATCCTGCTGGTTCTGCAGCTGATGCTCCTGCACCTCTTTCCAGATGTTGGAGTGAGAACAGGCCGTGAGAGGGCTGGTTTGGGTCCCTGATGTTTGTAGCTGTTTGCAGAAAGCCTACAAACAGCTACAAACATCAAAACCTAAATGAGTGTTGGTTTACAAATTATTTTTGTGGAAATTAAATTTCTAATTGTAGAAGAAGAAATGTTTAAGCTGCTCATAATGTTTTATGGTGTAAGGTATAGAAGTGTTATATAAGCAAAAGGGGAAAGAAACAGTTGTAATCTGCACAATACTAAAAAATGAATTCATTGGCAGCCTATGGTCGGGTTAATGCCATAATAAGGCCTGTAAATCATTACTGATGCAAAATGAAAATATAATCAAGTCAAAATGACCTACAAACACCAGTTTTTACAAAACGAATTGTAAAAGTTTTTAAAATAAGATGATCAGAAAAGATAAAACATTGATTCATATTTTTTTTTGTATTTATAGAGGAGACACTATAGTTTTTTTATTTTGAAAATATGCTGATTTTTAAAGCCATGTCTCACAACATTAAACATTTCTTCCAGTGAAGCACTCTCTGAAGTATTTCTACACTGCGTCCTCTCAAGTC